GTGGCGTCAGTTCCAACTTACAGCAACCCTGTATAGGTTTGGTGAGTTTGAACCTCCAATCTTGTGGTTCAAACTGACCTTGCAGTCCAGCGCATTAACCTGCAGCACCATACCATACCTAATAAAATCATCAGCACCAGAAAATATCATTTATTGTACCCTGGCCCGTCACCTACTGTGGCAAAACCAATATTCTATCACTAAATCCTTGAATGTTTGTCTTTACAGGTGGGGGGGACTGATACCAGACAAGATTGAAACAGGTCTTTCTTTTCTCATCTGCTTAACAGTTTTCTCATTTGCAGCTCCCAGAGCTTTTCTGGTTGTCTTCCACATTTTCTTGCACTCCTCTGTGCCTTTGAGAGCAGTCTTTTGTTCACTCACAAGAAGAATCTGCAATCTCATCTGCTCTCAACCAGCCTCCCACCTCCCGCTGAGCAAAGCTTTGCTTGAAAAGGGAATAGAGAGAAGAGGGAGGGAGGGGACTGGGAACATAGGGGGAGACTGGGTGAATGGGTACACAGCCTCCCCAACAAGGCGATGGACCCACAGGGGCTGCTTGGTGACCTTGGATCTATCTGGGCCCTATGACCTCAAGGTTTGAAGGCTGAACTAGAGTGTTCTGAGTCCTCTCCAACTATAAACAACTTGAACCCTAATCATAATTCAAATCAAAATCAAAATCATCTATGAACCTAAGTTGTACTGACGCTTCTAATGAAATATAATGTAATGAAATATTGGGAGTTTCTTTGTTCTCTTCTTCGTTTTGCAACTTGTCTACAACTAATTAGCATTACTGATAGTGTACACACACATGTTGTTGTTGTTAAGTGCCGTTGACTCGGTTCCGATCCATAGCGACCCTGTATAGAGTTTCTGAGGAGTAGTTGGTGAACTTGAACCACCGACCTTGTGATTCAAACCAGCTTTGCCAGCGCATTAACCCACAGCACCACTCTAGGACTCCATTGGTGTGTGTATTCAATAACTAGGTAAAAAAGAAAATGGAAACATTACAAAAAAAAAAAAAAGGGAAATACGTTTTTAAAATAAAGACCCAAATCTAGGGCCTACATTTTAAAAAACGACCACGGAAATTCTCTAGAGGCAGTGTGAGCTGCCTGGTTTCTGAGCTGAGAACAAAGCTTTGTAAACTCTTCTGGCGCCATCTGCTGGCCATACCAAAATCCACCACTCAATTTGTTTCGCAATAGGGCCTCAAGGAAATCACGGGTAAACTTGATAGGGTCGCGTTTAGGATAATGATCACAGTCCTTTTCTTCTTACAGGAAAATTTCACTCCACAATTACCTCCAGAATTCACTTGATTTTGCTTTGCAGTAACGATAGTAACAGCGACACCCACATTAGTTACTTTCCTTTGAAGCCCAGAATAAGCCCAAACCAAACACACTGTCATCATCATTTCATAGTGACCCTATAGGTCAGAATAGAATTTCTCCATAGGGTTTCAGAAACTAAACCTTTTGAGGGAGCAGACACCCTCATCTTTCTCCCTTAAAGTGGCTGGTGGGTTTGAACTGCCAACCATGTGATAAGCAGGCCAATGTTTAACCATCTATATCGCCAGAATTTCTTAAGGTACAGAATTGTTGTTAAGTGCCGTCGAGTGAATTCCGACCCATAGCGACCCTGTATAGGGTTTCTGAGGCTGTAAATCTTTACAGGAGCAGAAAGTCTCATCTTTCTCCCGTGGAACAGCTGACCTTGAGGTTTGCAGCCCGATTCATAACCACTACACTACCAGAGACTGTTGTTGTTGTTAAGTGCCATCGAGTCGGGTCAGACCCATAGCGACCCTGTACAGGGTTTCCAAGGGTGTAAATCTTTACGGGAGTAGAAAGCCTCATCTTTCTCCCGCGGAGTGGCTGGTAGTTTCAAACCGCTGACCTTAAGGTTCGCAGCCCGATTCGTAACCACTACGCTACCAGAGACTAGTCAACCAAAAAATATGTGAAGCCCCTCAGGCCATGAAACCCTCTCAGGAATGAGTTTCAGCTGCCCTCCTCATTGTGCTCAGGCCTCCTGTAGAGGGACAAGCACTTGGTGGACGCCCCTCTCTGCTCCACCATCTTTGAGTAGGTTGCCTCCTCTGTATCCTTCTGTCTCTGTCCCCTGTGTTTCCATACATCTTAAACCAATTGATCTTTGCGCTAATTCAATCTGTCAAGCATTTCCACCTGGCTCCAGCAGCCCTACAGACTTGTGTGAGCCACTCTTTGTTGTAGGTATTCATGAGAATTTCCTTCCATCACTTCTTATGCCATTCTTCAAAGGCAAACCTTTCTGAACTTCATCAAGATCTTCACGTGATCTTTAGTAGGAACAAATAATGAGAAGGTCCATCCTTCTGGGGCGATGGGCAGCTCAAAATCTCTGATTGGTCCTTCTAGGAAGGGGAGGCTGGCCATATTTGGAGAACAGTAGAATGCCACCTCCCCCAATAGCTCCTATATAGCTGGACAGGCCCTGACTAACAAGAGCTTGTGCTGGAGGACAGCGCCTGCCTGTGATTCCAGAGCCAAATTCCCTGCAGCAAACCCAGGTAACATGGGGAGGCAAAGTTTTCACACAGATTCTGAGGTTAGCATTGTTCATTTCCAATCAGGGTCTCTACCCTAGACTGCAAATCATGCAAATGATTTCTTCACTTCTGCTTCTTGGATGGACCCCAATTCCAGGAAGACTTGTAAGAATGTTTAGGCATCAATGGTTTTGTATTTCTATATTTTTTTTGCTACAATCAAATGCCCTTTTAGGGTTGACTGATTGGGATTTTGTTTTGCTTGTAAGTTCTTGCCTATTAGAAACAATTGTTTTCCATGATATCTGTGCTTTATTTTCTTAAAATGTGATTAGCCATAATGAACCATTATGTTATTATTCTTATTTAAGATTTCTTCTACCAAAATGTGTGGGCTGATGACAAGAGGTGTGGCCCCTTATTTAGGAGATTTATAGATGTTTGCTGCATGTTTGGATCTCTTTGGAGAAAGCCAGTGTGAGCTAGCCAGATTTAGAGGGTTGTTGTTGTTGTTAAGTGATTAGGGGTGGGGGTGGGGGTTAAAAGTCTGGTTGTGCTCACGTTGGGGCAGAGACTAGACAATGCCTGCAAGCAAAGAAAGGTCAGGGGAGGCCTCCTTAAATACTTCCAAAAAAGACAAGACATGGACCCAGACTGTATTTTACCTTTTTTCCTACATAAGAACCAGTCCCACACTAAAGTTGAAATTTTGAACAGAGATGTACTAAATACCTTCAGGTGTGCTGTAGAAAGATGATGGAGAGGGTATTGAGAGCTAAGCAAGTTAATGTCTAAGCTCCCTTCCAGCTGGAGCATTCCGTGGATTCACAATCAAGTTATATCTAGGAGACAGTCTAAGCGTGCTCCACTCTGGGAACTTTTCCTGTTTCCCAGACCCAGGGGACAAAGGAGCAGGTGCTTCAGGGCCTTGAGTTCTTGAGCCTGGGAGGTGGATGTCTACAATAGCTATTGTCCTTTCAGAAGCCAGCTGTGAAAAACTAAGATGGGGGGGGGGGAGTCTCTTAGTGCTCCCATAGGTCCTCCTGTCCTCCCTTCATCTCATTTCCACTGAAGTGCCCCACAGACCCTGCTCCTGGCTCAGGGTCCATCAGGACTGACTTTTGTGCTCAGTGAGTCATCTGCACAAGATGTGAGCCCCATGCACTACATCAGACAGAACTAGATTCAAATTTGCCACCCACTATTGCATAGCCCCAGAATTCTGGTGTGGCACTGGACTGCTAACCACAAGGTCAGTTCAAACCCATCAGCTGCTCTTAACAACACTGACAACCCTGGGTAAATGACTTATAGTCTATGAATCTCAGAACAACTTTACCTTACGAAGTGATAATAATGTACCTACCCCATGTAAGAGCTAAATTAGGCAGTTGTCAGTGAAGGACTTAACACAATTGCTGACACAAAGTTAGTGCTCAGTAAAAAGTTATGGGGAGTGGGGGAGTCGTTGTCCCCAGGGGCAAGATTGCCAAGGATGCCTATAGTACATCTGACATAACCTGGAGAAGGCAGGGGTCCACTAGCTTATTCTCCCTCTCTCTCTCATCAAGTTCTTTAGGATCCGCTAGAAGATAACAGAATGTGCCTTAGACGGTGCCAGCTCAGAGCAATAGAAAATAAAAAGGGAAGATTAAAAACACAATCTAATATAAAAAGTTCACCAAGAAGCTCGCTTATGTTTTGTGCAGTTTTCTGCTTCAAAAAGATCACAGAAAAATTCCATTATCTTTTCATTCCATTTTTCATGAACTTCTTAAAGCCCTTTCATTTATGATTACTTCATTAAAAAGTTAAAACACACACACACAAAACCTTAGTAAAGGGCTTAAAAGATTTGAATAAAAGGAAAGTAATTTAATTTAAACAATAACAAAAAAAATCTATGCCCAAAAACCTCTGAGTCAACTCTTCTACTGTATTTTCCTTGGGAGCACCAGGGAAACCTCTAGGTATTCAATCATGTCTCATCTATTTTCCATGTGTATTTTAAGGCATTTATAATTGCCAGGTATAGTTTCTTATCTGTCTGAGAAACCAGGATCGTTGCCCTGCATGGATATAATCCCAGGCAAAAGCAAAGATATTTGGTGATTGAGTTAACCCTGAGCAACCCAAATATAGGAATACTCTTCTGCTTTTGGGGAAAGGTGGTGCCAATGGTTAATGTGCCCTACTGTTAATTGAAAGGTTGGAGGAAGTAGATTACCAGGTACCTCAGGAGTAAGACCTAGTGATCTACTTCCAAAAACCCAGTCATTAAAAACCCTATGGAGCACAGTTCTACTCTAACACACATGGAAACACCACAAGTCAGAAACAAACTGGATGGCAACTGCATTTGGAAAATTGTAAATGAATGAAAGGAGGGAGGGCTGGTTCCCCCCTGAGGAAATTGATTGCCTTGGCTTTTTCTACTGCAGATTCCCACACAATGAGGAAACATCTGGGAGCTTGGTGGTTGGCCATTGCCTTCGTCTTGCTCCTTAGCGATCTCTCCATGATCACAGCGAGAGGTATAAAGCACAGAATCAAGTGGAACCGCAAGGCCCTGACCAGCACCGTCCACGTCACCGAGGCTCAAGTGAGTGACACCCGCCCAGGAGCCTTCATCAGGCACGGCCAAAAGCTCGACATCGACTTCGGAGCCGAAGGCAATAGGTACTACGAGGCCAACTATTGGCGATTCCCTGACGGAATTCACTATGACGGCTGCTCTGAGGCCAACGTGACCAAGGAGATGTTCGTCACCAGCTGCATCAACACCACGCAGGCGGAGAACCAGGCAGAGTTCTCACGGGAGAAGCAGGACAACAAGCTTTTCCAGCGCATCTTGTGGAGGCTGATCAGGGAGCTATGCTCTGTCAAGCACTGCGATTCTTGGCTGGAACGGGATGGAGGACTCAGGGTCAGCCTGGATCAGCCGGTGATGCTCTGCCTGCTGATTGTCATTTGTTTTATTGTAAAATAAGCTTGCAAAGAGGCCACCTAGACATGAAGCAAGTGAGCAAAACAGGGAACATGTTCTCTTTCTAGTCCCCAAGCTCAGTCTTATCTGAAGGTACCAAAGAGCAGTGATTCACCAGCACATCCTAGATTACTCCCAAGTATTCAGTCTGCTACTTGTTGGTATTTGATAAATGTGTGTGCTCTGGTCCCCTCTACCCTCCACAAGAGAGCAAGGCTTGTTCATCCCTGAATTCTCAGCTCCTAGTAGAGGGACTGGCACATGGGATCATGCAGTAAATGTTTGGTGACTAGATAAAAGAGCATGCCAGGAAATGTGCCAAGCCCGCCATGATATTCCCCAACAAACTCTTTGAGGTAGGTGCTAGTCCCATTTTACAGATGAGGAAACTAAAGCACTAAACAGTGAAGCGACTCACCCAGAGTTACACAGCTACAAAGTACCAGAGCCCCAGTTCAGCCCTGGCTTGTCTGACCCAGGGTTTCTGCTCTGTCTGTTCTCAAAGCTGTCTCTTCATCACTTCTTGGTTCATAAAGCCCCAAGTCCAAACATATCTCTATAGAAATGAAGGAGAAGACATGAGGCAGCAACCATAGACTCTTGGTCAGGCTTAATTGAACTCCTCTAATTAAACTAAAATATTAGTACGGGGTTAAACTAAAATAGAAATCAAGTGAAGCAGAAGCTCAGAAATCATACTGTAAGAAAATGTTGCCCAGCTGATTTCCAAATCAGACTACAACTACAGCAAGATGGTTCCACAACACAAAGATTTTATACACAATGAGTATCTTTGAACATATCTCTCTTTACACATGTTCACACAATCTCCATCAGTTCTTTTAACAAGACTTTGGTGAGGGGATGGGGATCACGTCTGTAAACCACATGGCTACCAAAAAAAAAAAAAAACACTCAGCAAAAGTGTTAGAAAGGAAAACCAATGCAAATTATAATAAAAAGGTTTTTTTTTAAAAAAAAATTAGAAAGAAACATGATTTTAGGGAAGCCAATAAAGAATTAATTGATGTCCTAAGGAAAACTAGAAAAAAGTAGATACTGTCTTATTAGATTTTACATATGTGTGTGTGTGTGTGTATGTATATACACATAGTTTAAATAAAAATAATTCATATAGTGCTCCCAGGCGCCCCCTACAGGCACTCTGGGATATTCTCCAAGAACTCTGGGAGTTGCTGAACCCTATTTGGAAATTACAGCTGCTGAATATCATCAATTCTACTTTAAAGAGAGTCTGTATGGGGAGGAGGAGAGGGGGATGTGTATAGTCAGATAATTTAGCCTAAGTATTTTGAAAACGTGACTGTTGATAACAGTACCTCTTGTGCCTGAGTCCTCAACTATCAGTGTTCTTCTCAAAGATACAGTTGGAAGGTTTGAACATTCAAAGCACAGTGGAGGACTTGGGGGCGAGGCAGCCCAGAGAGACAGCCAGCCACCCACTGGATACATGGAGGAGACGCCCATCCTCGGCAAGATTGGACTTGATTCTTTAGGCAACAAGGACTTCACCCACCTTGTACTCCACAGTTCTGCTGAATTCTAGATCAAAAATCAAGAAAAAGTACAGCACACATAAAGGTTCTCATTGGCATGCCAATTCTTCATTTTTAAAAAATAAACAAACAACAAAACAAAAACATTAAGGAAAGAAAGAAAAGTTTAAAGACTGATGTTGAAATTTCAAGGCCTGGCTCTTAAGAGTTTAATTAAAAGGGCACACACAAACATATCAGCAAAATGATTTCATTTCTTATGTGGAAATACTTGGGTCATTATACATTTCATTTTCTATAATTTCTGTCTTTGATGATTTTGTTAATAGCTTTCAAGAAACCAGGTTTAAATGGAGAGTGCATTTGTACTTGGTGATTCACATATAAAATGTACTGATGGAGCTTTTCATTAAAACTGTGTGTACTTGAACATCCTTGCTCATGTTTAAAGACTTTGTGAGTCTGTTGGTTACTTTAGCAACATTTTCTTGAGTGCCTACTATATTCAAAACATTCTTCATATATATATATACACACACACAAACATATAAAGGCGCTCTGGTAGCGTAGTGGTTATGAATTGGGCTGCAAACCTCAAGGTCAACAGTTTGAAACTACCAGCTGTTCTGTGGGAGAAAGATGAGGCTTTCTGCTCCCATAAAGATTTACAGCCTTGGAAACCCTCTACAGGATCGCTATGA